GAGTTCATTGCACCAATAAGTTGACACTCGTGTTGGTCTGATAATTTGCCTCGGTGATACATGGCTCTCAGTTAAATCCATTGGTGATGCGTCCACTCTAGCATATCAACATGTCTGAGAGAGGGAGGGTGAGAGAAATGGCTGCCTCTGTGCAATGCCAGCTGCCAGAGAGGAGGGGAGAGAGAGAAAAGCAGGCAGAGTATGAGAACATGAATATTCGGAGAACAATAACCGGGCTGAAAAAAAAGACAACTGAGACAGCGACCAGTAGAATTTGCACGACAAAGGGAAGGAGCAAGCGGATTGTAGAAGGAGAACACAAACTCGCCTACAACAACAAGGGGGGCGGGGGGTGATGACTAGAGGGGGAGGGTGGCAGGAACATAACGTAAATCACTGGCCCCCTCTTCACCATGACAAGCAGCTATGGCATCGACCGCTCATGCCAAGCTCACAAATCTGAACAGAGGGCACTCCCAACAAGTAAAAACTGCCTAAACCCACGCAATATGACTGTTTTGAGTCTGTTTCAGTAAAAAAATCGCTGAAAATCACACCCTCCGTTAACCACGCTGAAAACTATAACTTGAGGACAGATCAGGGGTAACACAAGACTTCATCTACAGTTCACACGTGGTTAACAGGGGGTGTGATTTTCAGTGAATTTTTTACTGAAACAGTCATATTGGCCGTTTTTCTTTTTGATGTTTGCACTATGCGCCTATATTGTTTGTTTTTCTGAACTTTTTCACTATGTTGCTTGTGGTGACACAACGAAAAGGGAAAATGTTCGGGCCTCCATCAACCATCTCTCCCAGTCCCCCCAGTGGAAGATAAAATCCCTCACACCCAGAAATTTCAAGTAGTACACAGGTTCTTCAATTCTCGCACTTTCACCACTCCTACCGACTGCCAGTTTAGCCCTTTCATTCATTGTGCATCATCAATGACCCAGAGAGATTGCCATTGAATCTGTTGGGGACAAAACTCAGACTCCTGCTGCACCTCCATGGATACAAAAGAACTATACTTCACACTGTTCACAGGGGAAGTGGCCTCACCGATACTGTTTCGTCCCTGCAAAAGATGCAAATAGGATATCATCAGCCTCTGCCAACAAGTACCTATACAGGCAAAGAAGGAAAGTGGTGAGTAAAGATTCTGGTGATCGGACGAGTAGATTTCGAAAAGACAACGAAAGAAAAAGATATCCACACTATTACCATCCCTCAAGTGCCAACGCACCAGACAAGAATCACCCTTGAGTAAACATTCTGGTGATCAGACAAGTAGATTACCTATAATAATAAAAAAAGGGTATTCAGTCGCAGTCCCTCAAGTGCCAATGCACCAGAAAAGTACCACCCAAGTGTGAGAATACAACGCATCTACAAAACAACAATTGCTTGCACGACAACATCAGAGAGCCAGCAGAGAATCCATGTCCAACACGAGTAATCATCACAGAAAACTGTCGCCAACTTCTTACCTGGCACATGTGAGCATTGAGCAACAACTCAAGCAACCTTCTTTGTTTTCTTTTTTTATTATTTGTTTAAACTTTAAACCACCAGTACATCTGGACAATGTGAATGAGCCTCTCCAAAAAGTTAGGGGCCTCAGTACAGGGCCCGCCTGGAGGTGGGTGGAATTTTCTATTTTGTTCAGCGCTGGGCCTAGTGCCACCGACGCTCGATCGGATTCTCAACTTGGCTGGGGCCATGCACTTGTTATGAACCTGGTTGTTTGCTGTCAGATGGCCAACACTCGCTCACATAGACTTCCAAGCATGCCCATACATACACAGACGGAAGGGGAGAGGATGGCAGCATCACACCGCACAGGGAAAGATAAACACAGTGGAAGACTTGACCATGCGATATGACAGAAAGCACTGACAGTGCAATTCGCTCCACAGAATCCTCACAACCAGTCACAAAGGAAAGCCGAGTAGATCACATCCAAGAAACAATGAAGCAAAGATAGTCTGCACACAGTACACACACTGTTTATTAAACTCAGAGTCTCAAATTGTCAGGATAACCCCAGAACTATGGTGTGCTGCTCAGAAATGAGCAGCGCTTCACTCTCCAACCCCGAGTAACCGCTAGAACTACCCCTGAGTCCCTGAAACATCAAGCGCCACCCAGATACTGCCTCCAGAGGGAAGCGAAGTGCCGGATGACTTCCCGGGTGGAAGTCTGCAGCAGCCCCACCTCTCCTGACACAGATGCTCTCTGAGGTAGACAAAGCTGCAGCTATGGCTGCAGCGCCACACACCCTGACACCCTACTCCTGAGGAGGGTTCAGCAGGGCACAAACTTCTCTCGCCTCCAGCAGACTTCGAGTAGCCCAGACCTCTGGACAGCCCCGCGTGCTGTCAGAGTACAGTGCCAGTCCCAGCTATGGCCGACACTCCGCAGGTCTGGCTATGTCCATCCTCCTCCTCAACGCTGAAGCTGTTACCACTCCCAGTTCACGCGTTGCACCGCAGCGACGTACCCGGTACCAACCGCCAAAAGCCCTGAACGGATGTCCTCATCCTATCTATAACCTACACTAGCCTAGACAAGACCTAGACCGGACTGACTGGACTGACCGGTACAGTTTCAGTTTCGGCCTCTTGGCCTCTACCTACCCGGCTATAGGCTATAGGACCGTCTATCAGCATAGGCCCTTAGGGCCCATCTGTCCTAGGGGTAGCCCGGGTCTGTTACAGTAAGGGTAGCTGTTGGTAATTTCAGTTAGTACGGGCCTGTGTTTTCCCAAATTTGCAGATATGTCCCTCAAGAATTTTCCCTACAGACAGGTCTCTCGGTTAGCCCTCAGCCAAACAAAATTACGAATTTATCCTACCTATAGTACAGCCTCGACAAGAGAGGCTACAGGCCACTGGAACCAGCAAGTCATTGCATACTGGTGGTTTATCCAATTCTACTGATGGGGAGCTGCACCTGCCAGAAACTGGGTCCGGCATTCCACTGCACCTGCCAGAAACTGGGTCCGGCATTCCACAGAAAGAAAAATACAACAGGCCTAGCTCAGTTCGTACACCCCTGAACTGTTGAAATACAGACTCAAGTTTGAACCCAGATACCTTCAGATGAAAAGAATAAGATCATTCTGAATTGCGTGGGGCCGGTCAGTTCAATGAGGATGTCTAAAGGTTGTCGCCCTTTTTAACAAAAAAACAAAAAAAAAGATGTTGAAGGGATCATTGAGCTTCCCGCCACCCCGTATTTCCCAAGACTTATCCAACTGAAAGCCCCAGGCCCCCAACCAAACGGATCAATAAACTAAAATGACTCGTTTCAGAGACTACTGCCCTGGCTACCCCAGCTCCCCAGTTCCCCTGTCAAGCCACCAATCTCACTGCAGGCCAGTAGGAATAAAAACAAGTCGATCTGTGGGGCAGTCCCACTGGGAACTCAAGCCTGAATCTCACAGTCTCTAGGTTGAAAATTTCCATGGCACCGACGAGGAAGGGATACAGGAGATGTAGAGTGACCAAACAACAGAAAAACAAAAAAAAAATCCATAGCACCGACGAGGAAGGGATACAGGAGCTGTAGAGTGACCAAACAACAGAAAAAACAATGTTCTTCCTGTCTGCATGGCAGGTTCCCAAGGTACAGAAATAGTTAAAGAGTACAGGCACATAAGCAACACAAGACGAGCCCTCATGCACTACTTGCAGATCAGGTCTACTTGGCGTGATACACAGCGCAAGAGCGAACTCGAACCCAAAGGGCCATCATCACATGATTTTCAAAAATCACAATTTGACTTTTGGAGCCACAAAGGCTGAAGCCCATCGTGTGTATATAATACTGTATATCGTCAAACGCCCGGTAAACCATAGGCAGAGACGGACAACAGGACAACAAACGAGGGGCTATATATATGGGCATGGAATTGAGGGATCTGGGTTATCCATCCTAGATGTCATCTTCTGTTTCCCGTCAGTATCATGTCGCGATGTAGGCCACTTTACGTATATCTTTGAGAATTTCTGCACATGAATCTGCTGCAGACATCCCAAGTTCAGTGCCCCCTCCCAACCACCTAGTCAACGTAAAGCAATTGACATAAAAAAAAAAGAGAAATAAGGCCGAAGCAGCAGAACTGGTGTTCCGTCCTCTATCTGTCATTTAACATTTACAGACCGAGTTCTACTTCCGCTTTCAATTTAAGGCATGCAGCACAAAGGATTCAGGATTGTGGACAATCGAAGAGACAAAAGAGCCAAGTCAGACAGATACTGATAAGCTCTCCCTTCTGTTTCCGCCAAAAGACTACACGGGATGGCCGCGCTATTGTGAGGAGAAACACCTTCAGCTAAAAACCAAGCCAAGGCTCATGAAGAAGGGGAGCTCAACAGTCAACAGGGATGAAGGAGAGCGGGAAAATCGAAATTCAAAAAGTATGAAGTAGATAAATAAATTGGAACCTGTTTTACCGCTCTCTAACAGGGCTAACAGAGCCGTGGTAAAAGAGATTCCAGTGGTAAATCCTTCCCGAAAAGGAAGCAATCAATGCCGCTGCCTCGGGGTCCTTCAGCCATTATGGAAGGAAGCGTGGAATGGGTTCTTTATGTAAGGGACGCTAGACCTGAAACGGTTTTCACCTTCCAGCAGTCACGGATGCGGGCCCTAGAGTTCGATCCCCAGACCTCACTTTGCCCATGTACAGTATCGAGTCGACCCCTGAGTGTTTGAACCCGTGATCTGTGTTTTGGTAGTTGTTTGTCGTCTGTCGTAGGTCCATGTAGCGGTAGGGGTTTGATCTGTAGGTCTGTCTATTAGGAGTCACAGCTCTGTAGAGGTCGTGGCTGTAGATGCCCTGAAAGGTCAAGGTCGTAGCTGCTACAGTACCCGAAAGGCCAAGTCTACAGCCTTCCGGAAGGTCCAGAAGTGGCTTTTCGAAGTGTCCCACGTTTAGTCAGAGGCAAGTGGCAAGTGGTGGGCCTTTAGTCAGATGCAAGTGGGCAAGTGGTGAGCCAACTGCGTAACGTCGGCAGTGCGACTGCATCGAGTTGGCAGTGCGAACCCATGCAGTCAGCGGTACCGGTCCCAGTCAGTCAGAGTCCAGCCAAGCAAGTACCATGTGGGACTGTGTGCACCATGGGCCGATGGAAAGGGGCAGACCAACGAGTTACAGAAGTATAAATCAACAAGAGGCAGCGCTCAGCCATTCATTCATTCACTGCGTAAGCCCTGCGGAAGCGCTGCTACAGCGTCTTGTGCGAAGGTGGTCTGCAGGTTGCCCGAAGACAGAGTGGGCTGAAGGGAGATCGTAGCCATAGTCAGTAGTGGTAGTGCGGCCATAGCCGCTGTAGGAGGAAGTTAGACATAGCGTATGTGTGCGGTGGTATTCAGGGTGATCCAGAGTGAGCGTGTGAACAGTGGGGTTGGACACAGTGACGAAGGTTGGGATGTTCAGGCGCTGATGCGCCATAGCCTGTTGAAGAGAACTTGCTGAACTGTGTTCTTGATTTCCATATCTCTAAGCTTTGAGTGGGCGCCCTGCACCAGTGTGAGTCTCCATCTGTTTGCATGTGTGCAAAGTGGAAAGAAAGCGAGTCTGATTGCATTGGTATCGGAGCTGGTTCCCGTTACCCCACGCGCCATCGTCGTTGCCAGCGGGAAGGAGATGCACACGCCAGTTAGGCGCCATAGCCAAGTTGCACCATCAAAGAAGATCAGCCATAGCTGCGCTGCGGAGTGAGGTGCTGAGTACCTGCACAGAAGACAACGACGAAGAGAGAGAGAGAGAGAGAGAGAGAGAGAGAGAGAGAGAGAGAGAGAGAGAGAGAGAGAGAGAGAGAGAGAGAGAGAGAGAGAGAGAGAGCGCAGATCCAAGCACAAGCTGACATACAAGGGAAATTAGATATTCTGTCTAGGAACATTGAGCTCCTAGCCAGCGCCTCGGAGGAGCTGTATCAGTTTTCGAGAGCCCAAGATATGACCTTACACTCCATACGCCTAGGCTTCCGAGATTTCGCACATGAGATGATGCGGCACGTAGGCGCTGAGGTGCAGGCGAGATTGGAGGGCTCGGGGAAGTTTTGTACAGGCGCCATTGAGAGCGCAAAGCTGGCTGTACCAAAGAAGGACGAGCTACG